TCTTAAACAAACATTTCTGAAAAAAGTTAGAAGACAATCTAAAAAAATAAAGAAATTTTTTATTTAAAACTTTATATAAAATTAAGCCAATAGAGTGCAATTGTTTTTTAATCAATAGCATTCAATTAAATTTGCACACATTAATTCTTTTGTAATCTGTTTATAAAAGTAAAGACATAAGTGAAAGAAATAAGAAAAAGAAAATTTTGTAAAATATTTCATGTTTTTTAATCATTATTTAACAACAGAACTTTATAAGACATAATAAACATGTTTTTTTCCTTATTTATCATTATGATTTACATAACAGCATTAAAATGTTACGCTTGCAAAGCGTTTATTTTATTTGATACTTTATTTTATTTTAGGGTACTTTATATGCAAATTATTTCGAATAGCTAATTTCAACTAATTAATTTCATACAGAAAGCGAAAACGTGTAATTGCATTTTCCGGTGCATATCGTTGTACGCAAAAGAAAATAAGGTCATATGAAAATGGTTATTATGCCATTCACTTTCTCTTTTTTCACCATTTTTTTCTATTGCTAATGCAATAAACTGTATAAAAATAAGACCAATTGCCAATTACGTTACCTCATATATACCACATACGCACGTGCATAAATATAAAATAAGTAGTATTTATAGATTATTCCAAAGACAAACAAAAATTAATACTCTTATCAAAAATTAATATTCATCGAAAAATAAGCGTATTTTTCCTGTTTTAAAATTTTCGGTAATACATTAAATATTCATCGATATTGTGATTTTTAGTGAATAAAATTAATTAATATATTAAAAGAAATTTATTTTTGAGAAAAAAAAATTTAGAAAGAAGTAAAACCCTGACAAAATTCGATTTATAAGTTTGTAAGTAATTTAAATATCCAATAATGCTTGAAATTGAAGTTACTCTGTACCTTCGTTTTTTTTCTTTCTAGTAATATCTATATAAAAGCGATAGTCGAATCTATTTTTGCGTTAGCGAAATAGTTTGTTATGAATAATTAACTTCAATTTTAATAATGATTATCAAGATCTTCAGATAAAGATTTTCTCTTTATTATATCCGATTTTGTTTATTAAAAATTATAATATTTCGGACCATGTATTTTCGAAAATTTTGCGAAAGGAAAAATTGTTAATTTTTTGGTGAATATAATAATATTAATTTCTGACATCGACAGGATATTTCATTTTAATCTTTTCCTCGCAATTATACTTCCACAATTATTAATTATATTTTTAAAAATGTCTCAGATTAAACTTATGTATTTCAAAGAAGGCTACTCTCTATAACAATAAGTACAATTTTGTTCTAGATTATTATGTATTGTATATTTTTTATATTAATTAATGTATCCTATATTATTCTTTGTATAAAACAAGTCTTGTAAATCATTTTTCATTCTATCTTAAAATTTCTATGTATAGCATTTTTATGTATAGAATCATGAATTATGATGAGAAGAATCAATTTATGAGAAAAAAATGTACGATCCTAATTTAAAAATGATGGTGACCTCAAAAAATTTTGAAAGCGCTTTTATATCTACATTAATCTACAACAAAATTGTGCCAAAAAACTTTTGAAACAAAATAAATTTTATTTGAAGCTTTTTTATAATAATTAATTTTTTAAATAAGCGATTTTCAATGATAGTGGAAATATCGTGTAAAAAGATTAAAAGGATGAAACAGCCTGTGTGTGTCCCTACATATATTTTATTTGTTATTTTTTATTGTAAATACTTTTATTTTCGCTCCTTTATTAGTAAAAGGACGCGCATTTTAGTCAATTATTATTATCATAATGCAATTATATTTCTTCGCGTGCGTGAGGAAAATTAATTCGTCATTAAGAAAGCGTGCAAAGTTAATTTAATAAAGAGTGATTAGCGTGCCATTTTGATCGTGAGTAAAATAATTGTTTTCCTTTTCACAAACGCTTTAATATACATTCTGAACGTACTGAATGTTTAGAAAAAATTATATATTAAAAAAGATTGAAGCATTTGATTTGATTTCTCAGTGATATTCTCATATTATATTTATGGCCTTTATAAGTTAAACTATAAGAATTAATATCTCACAAATAACATATTTACAAAAAAAATGGAGGATGTTGCAGCCGATCAAAAATTCTTCTAATTGCCAATCGTTAAAATAATAATAAACAAAATCTCTATTTAGTCATAACTTATTAATATTAAGTTAATTACACACATAATAATGCGTTCCACTATATTCTACACATATTAAAAACTCGATGTAAATCTTTTATGTCGCATTAAATACGTATATCGAGGAAAAAATCGATATACGATTCAATATACAACGTAACATGTTTTATGCTATTAAGGAGCTTCTGCTGCGATAAATACATTCATGTTTGTTATCTTTGTTTATCCAAAGAGATTCGAGAGAAGGGATTTGTATTTAAGAAATTATATAAAACATATATATATACTATATGCCCAGTAAACACACTTATTTATTGCAATATAACATCTCGTAGAGCAACAAATAAGAATGTAAAAGTTGCTTGATTGATATAAAAAAGTTACTTATTAATATGATAAAAAAATTGTAATATCATACATATTATTTTGTATCGTTACAACAGTACTGTAACATTATTGCAAAATTATTATATATATGATGTATATTACAATATAAAATATTAATCTACTAACCCTTATGCAATATATCTGTAATATATTCAGTTCTATTATACTTATATATAAAACATTAAATAATATATAACAGTGTTTACTAGGTGTATATAGTATAGTTATACTTTTATTATACTTATTATTATTATACTTTTTTAAATATATGCTTCTCTCTCTCACACACACACATATTTTAGGATATTTGCGTTAAAGGACATTAAGAATCTTTCCCTGGTAGCAAGCATACGTCATTTTGACATCGTGACGTCATTTTGACGTCGAATGACGCTATTTTGACGTCAATTCATTTGACGTTTAATGATGTCATTTTGACGTCGAATAATATCATATTGACGTCGGATGACGACATTTTACGTTTAATGACGTCAGTTTGCTGCTTGGATTAATTCGCTATTTGAAAGCACACTGTGTATTGTGTAGATGTACACCTACTATGTGAATTTGTTGTGTTACAAGCAACATTATTATATTTTTGTGTTACGAATTACGATACGTTTTGTGAACAAATACGATTCTCCTCAATAAGAATCTCTATATTGTAAGCCACATGAGACGCACCAACGCGTAATAAATATATACCATCGTGATAATTTTTAATTGCGAATGCATTTGCAGAAGTTCGCGATACATCTGTGAATACCGACCAAAGTAAAAAAAAAAAAAGAATGTCTTAGAAATGCCCATAATTCTAGATAGAAATTCAAAATATACCGAGAAATAATATCTAATGAGAATGAATCTAATCTTTTGTAAACGATATGAATATAAAATAATTGTATATTTTGAAAATTATGCTAGAGGCGTCTCGATGCATAGATAGAGAGGACAATATATTATTGTGTCATATTCTATTTTAATTGAAAGTAATGGAAAACACAATGTGAAATTAGTGCATATTTTTAATAAATGGATCACAAAATTACATCGCATTCAGCAATTATTTATTCCTGATAAATTAAAGAATGTATGGAATAATAATTTTATGATAAATGTAAACAAAAATAAATGCTTATACAATGTTCGATTTTATTTATAATAAGCTGCAATGTAAAATTAATCCAATTTACAAATTTAATTAATTTCATTTAAAGTATAGAAATATTCGCATATCCGAAAATTTTAGTTTTAATTCTGTATATACAAATAATTAGAGTATCTCATTTTAAAAGACCTACAATCCCTAACAGCACATATCTTTTGAACATATATGATGTTTTTATATTAAATGATCGATATATATTTTTTAAAGTCAAATATTTTATCTGATGCTCTATGACATTTGATTGATTGATTTATTTCGACGATATAAAATAAATAAAATTAAAAACGGTCGAATCGTGGAAAAATTTAATTATTAAAATAATAAAAATAAGCATATATATATATATATATATATATATATATACAATATATATATATATATATATCTCTGTGTGTGGTATTAGTATATATATATAATATATATCTATATATATATATATATATATTATATATATGGTGTCTCATCCCCAGATTACCCAGATGTTGTTAATGTAATTGGTATTTAAATGCATGCATTTTTTTAACATTTAATTATGTTTCTTATATAAAAATTATATATAATAAATAAAGATACTTAATATAAAATTTTTTTTTCATAATACTATAATTTCATATTACATTTTTTCATAATACTATAAAAAATAAATTAAATTATTGTATATATTGATAATGTATAATATGTGTAAATAATTAATATGTGTATAAATGTATGTAATAATTTTATAAAGCTATATGTTAGAATATAGATAGCAAGCTGAAGTCATTGACGTCAAAATGACGTCATTTTGACGTCGATGACATCATCTTGCTACCTGGGTATAGCTTTATAAAATTACTACCGTAAAAATATTATTTAATGCTCTCAAAATATTAATAAATATTTTAAAAACGTTAATTTCAACATTACCGAAACCTCTAAAATCGATGTCAAAGTTTGTTCATAATGATGTTGCATACAATGTTAAAAACTATATATATTTGACAACAATAATACATTGTAGCAATGATTTTTTGCTTACTGGGAACGTATATATAAACGATAAAAATAACAATTCCCCATATTTATTAGATTTCTATTTTGACGCTTAAAAATAGCTCCTTACCTGATTACGGATGAAGATGATCTGCTGATTGCGAATATCACGATTTAAATGATTAAAAATCAGACTACCCTTTTTTTTCGGTGCTTCGGCTGAATTTTGAATGAACGAACAATTCCAGACCGACCGGCAGAGGTCTCTACCGTCGACTCTAGAACTCTCGAAGGAAGTATGAAGTAAAGTATGGTGCAGATCTCTTACGAGCAGCGTTGGACTTGGAGCTCGCACAGTTTCTGTGCGCACAGTGCAAATCATGGCGAAGGATGAAGGGGACGATGTGCTGCCAGACAAGGACGCGGCGAAAGGATTCTACGCCAAGTACGAGCCCAAGGAGATCCTAGGAAGGTACCTGTTACTTTAGCCTCGTCTCGATCACCTTTTATTATCAAGTATTTTTACTGACTCGCGAGTTGCTGCTCCCTCTTTTTCTAATTCCTGAATATCAGGTCAAATGGTGCGAATCGGTGGAAGAAATTAATTTATAATTGTGTTTTTAAATTCACAGTGACATTACATAATTCAGGCGAATTTCCATAAATTTTGCCACGAGTCGCAATAATTGCATTATGTCGACGAATTTAACGAGTTAAACTTAATAATGGGGAACAAATATTCCAGGGGAATATCTTCCACTGTCAGAAGATGTATTGAGAAAGAGACAGGTAGAGAGTACGCAGCTAAAATTATAGACATCAGCAATGAGACTAACGAGGATGGGCATCATATGAAGGACGCTACGCTGCAAGAGGTGCAGATACTTCATAGAGTTGCTGGACATCCTTATATCAGTAAGTTCTCTAAGTTTGCTTCTCTTGGAAGATTGTTGAAAACTATATTTAAGTTTATTTAAGTCTATTTTTTGTCTATTTAAATCTCGTTAAATTTGACTTTGCTAATTTTGGTGTCTTAATGTAAACACTAATACGTCCCCTCTGTGTGATAATTACGTGACAATTTCATGTATGTACTGTACTCTTACGTGTTTATTTAAGAATTGTTCTATTTTAAAAAGAGGAGAGAGCCAAAATTAATGAGATTCTGTTTTATGTTAATAGCTTAAGAGAGGTCATTATGATTATTTTTATTTTCTTAAATATTTTCTGCCAAATGTGCGATAACTGTAATTATTTTTTTTAATTTCTAGTTGAATTGCACGATGTTTTTGAATCGAACACATTATATTTTTAATCTTTGAATTGTGTAAAAATGGAGAATTGTTTGATTATCTTACGTCTGTCGTGACACTGTCTGAAAAGAAGACACGTTATATCATGAGGCAAGTGTTTGAAGGTGTTCAACATATACATGATCAAAGAATAGTACACAGGGATTTAAAGCCTGAGAACATATTGCTGGACGATAACTTGAATGTGAAGATAACAGATTTTGGATTTGCCAGAATGTTGAAACCTGGTGAAAAGTTAGACGGTTTGTTCGCATTATTTATTTCATATGATTTTTAATACAAAAAATTTTGTACTAATTTTTTTGTATCTTGCAGATCTTTGCGGTACACCTGGCAAATCTAGCACCGGAAGTATTAAAATGC